CAAGGTATAACTGAGAATCCTGTGGACACGGATATAATTGGGAATCCTGTGGCTACAGGCTTAACTGAGAATCCTGTGGGTACAGGCATAACTGAAAATACTGTGGGTACAGGCATATCTAAGAAGCCTGTGGGTACAACCATAACAGAGAATCCTGTGGGTACAGGCATAACTGAGAATCCTGTGGGTACATGCATAACTGAAAATACTGTGGGTACATGCATAACTGAGAATCCCGTGGGTACAGGCATATCTGGGAATGCTGTTGGTACAGGCATAACTGAGAATCCTGTGGTACAGGCATATCTAAGAAGCCTGTGGGGACAGGCATATCTGAGAATCCTGTGGGTACAGGCATAACTGAGAATCCCATGGGTACAGGCATATCTGAGAATCCTGTGGGTACAGACATAACTGAGAATCCCCATGGGTACAGGCTTATCTGAGAATCCTGTGGGTACAGACATAATGGAGAATCCTGTGGGTACAGGCTTAACTGAGAATCCTGTGGTACAGGCATATCTGAGAATCCCGTGGGTACAGGCATATGTGAGAATCCTGTGGGTACAGACATAACTGAGAATCCCCATGGGTACAGGCTTATCTGAGAATCCTGTGGGTACAGGCTTAACTGAGAATCCTGTGGTACAGGCATATCTAAGAAGCCTGTGGGTACAGGCATATCTGAGAATCCTGTGGGTACAGGCATAACTGAGAATCCCCATGGGTACAGGCTTATCTGAGAATCCTGTGGGTATCATGTGGGTACAGGCATATCCTGTGGGTACAGGCATATCTGATAATCCTGTGGGTACAGACATAACTGAGAATCCCCATGGGTACAGGCTTATCTGAGAATCCTGGGTACAGACATATCTGAGAATCCTGTGGGTACAGACATAACTGAGAATCCTGTGGGTACAGGCATATCTAAGAATCCTGTGGGTACAGACATAATGGAGAATCCTGTGGGTACAGGCATATCTGAGAATCCTGTGGGTACAGACATAATGGAGAATCCTGTGGGTACAGGCATAACTGAGAATCCTGTGGGTACAGACATAACTGAGAATCCTGTGGGTACAGACATAATGGAGAATCCTGTGGGTACAGACATAACTGAGAATCCTGTGGGTACAGACATAATGGAGAATCCTGTGGGTACAGGCTTAACTGAGAATCCTGTGGGTACAGACATAACTGAGAATCCTGTGGGTACAGGCTTAACTGAGAATCCTGTGGGTACAGGCATAATGAGAATCCTGTGGGTACAGGCTTAACTGAGAATCCTGTGGGTACAGGCTTAACTGAGAATCCTGTGGGTACAGGCTTAGCTGAGAATCCTTATAGTCTAGAGCATGCTGAACATACCTGAGAATCATTTGGCATTACTGAGCTCTAGTGGAAATTTCTGCTATCAAATCATTATATCATAGACTTGCCAAGGTCTTTTTACAGATTGTTGTCCTATTTTTGATAAAAAAGAATTAAGAAAGAAGTTCCATTTCCCATGCCAACATCATTGAGTTTGAATATTCTGGTGTGGTGTATTAAACAACAAACATGTTCCCGCACAGTTTTGTGTAAATGTAATATTCTCATTTATCCGTCTGTATGATCATCCAAAAATAGACTTCTCGCTAGAATGTTGCAATTGTTTACTTGCAATGGTTCTTCTTTGACACATTTTTTTAACATAAAGAAACAGGACTTTAAGTTCTGAGATATGAGTTAGATTATTTAATCAAGTTGACACAAAATGAATAATTTAGTCATATTTCTAATGAATACAACAATTATTCAATCATCCTCTCAACCAATCAACCACTTAACCAAATCAACCTCTCACTCTCTCATGAAATTCAGGGAAATTCAAATTATATACTTTTGTTTGGTATTTGGTATGTACTGATGAAATTCAATGTTTTTAGATAATGATTGGTTGTCATCTACATGTTATGAAATCACCAGCCAACAGTTGCCTATTTTCTGCTATTTTTTAACTGTTATTTCTTTTGTAACATTAGGTAGACAGAGCCTTCCAGCAGTCACATGTTTGCACATCTGTATTTCTTTAGGACTACTGACTGCAGACATGTGATAATTTATTCAACTGTTGAGCAAATTGATTTCATTTATGCATTTTTTCGGATCTGCGATTATTTATAGGTCATTTATTCAGCTGTGGAGAAAATTGATTTTGTTTTCACTTTTTCTTTAGAATATTTTTAGGTCAAGACCCCATTATTTATCCCAAGTGACCTTGTTTAACCCACTCATGTTAATCTCTCCGTGTATATAAATTGTTTTTCCTAGTAACCCTTCGCCTACCGCTATATTTCTGTACCACACTCAACCTATAAAGTCTTACCTGACAACAGTATGAGGATGTATACCTAGACGTCAATATAACAGTACATTCAACAAGTTGCTGTCTGTAAATCGTCCCACTGGCCCACATTAAAATTTAGACGTCTCAGTTGTACATTTCATTACAGATCTACAATTATATTAAATAAAGGATATTTTCCGTTGCATTTGAAGACAAATAGAAATTACAATATGCAAATGAAATGTTATTCTTATTATTTCTCTTATTATTATTACTCCATTGTGGGAGATGCGTATTGTGATATATCTTATTCGTATTGTTGGGATTCGGGGTAAGGTGTTGTAAGTTTCATTCACTTGGAAAATGCTGATAAATTTTGAGTATCATCACATCTAAAAAGAGTTGTCATGGAAACTGTGTTAAAGTCTTCCTATATGGAAAGTGAATCATATTTACAAAGAACTTTATTGTTGAAATTGTGTCAACTCGACTAAATGTACAATGAACAATGCTATGTGTACTATGTTATAGTAGATCTGACTTGGGGTATTTGATATTTGGATCAGCTGGCTGTGTATTTGCTAAGTGTTTAACACACGTGGTTTGATTCAACAAAATATGAGTGAGTGAGTATGGTTGTCGCTTTAAGCAACATTCCAGCAATATCTCGGGGGAGACACCAGAAATGGGCTTCACATATTGTACCCATGTGGAGAATCAAACCCGGACCTTCAATATGATGAGCGAACACTTTAACCACACGGCCACCCCACAGACCCCTCCCTCAACATTATGACCAGGTATATATTTCTTCAATGAGGTCTTGCAGAATGGTTTAAATCATCAGGGCAAAATCTCACTGACTAGTGTTGTGTTGGAGAGTTAAGTCATTGCTAAAGATTGCTGAAGATGGCAAAAGATTGCTAAAGATTCATGAAGATGGCAGAAGGGGACCACGGATGTACAAGAACCATGGTATAACCAATTATTAAAATTAAAAAACAAAAGCACTGAACCTCAAAGAGTATTCTTCAATCTTAAAAACAATTTTAAACAAACATTTGGATAAATGTTCTGTGCATACAAATCTGTGTGATTACCTTACTGAGAGAGTGTTCATTTATTTATGGTTCCATTCTTAAAGGCAACTCATTAATTCCAGACTCTCCGACTGATGATATGTGCTAACACAGGTTCTGTCGCTTGTGAAATAGTATTTGTAAATATTCCGTTTTCTCTTTTGAAAGCCACTCCTTAACTAGGCTGAACACAAATACCTCTTCCTACAACTAATTATTGATGCTTTTAATCAGACATATCACTAGGAAAACATCTTCTTACAATCACACACCATCTTGAACAAAACCTCTCATAAACCAGAACACATATATAGAATAGTTGAGACGAATTTCAAATTCGGATTATGAAATTTTAATCATAGTTTATCATGACAAAAGAGGCATTTGAAAAGAAGGATGAATAATTGACAGGAATATATCATCCACTACAAAAACGGGGTTGGGTGAGCCAGTAATTACTGGGAACTGTTTGAAGGTAGAAAGCCGTCAGTCAAGCTGGACTGCAGTTCGGGTAATGATATGCTCAGCTATTGTTTTACTATGGCCTCCTCTGTGTTCATTCATTCAAAACCTGTGACCAAATTAAGGGAGGAGGACCTATTGTGTTCTTTTCATATTCACATCCTTGAGTTAAAGGGGCCCAGAATTTGAATTAAATTACTAAGGATTATTTGAATTGTTACAATGCTTTATGTTAATGGTTTAATTAAGCGTAATTTCTACAAGATTTTAAGCAATTAAATTTTACTTTATTGTTTTTAGAATTACACTTTCTTGTAATGTGTTAAAATTGACTTTTTAAAAAATTCAAATTCAAATTACACTTTAATTAAGAGCTGTCTTTGTTGCTGTTAATTGATTCAGAATCATTGAACAGGGTAATGGGTTTTATCATAGAGAGTTTTACTGCAGCAACAAATAGCCCTGTTTAACTTGAAAATTTGAAGTTGTCTTTTCAAGAAATATGATTAAAGGAGGTCTGACTTTCTCTTTGAATTATTTTGATTCTTTTTGCATCAGAAGATAATAGTGGCAGTGGTTAAAATAACATTTTTACTTTGATTTTAAGAAATTAATTTTGATAAGACAATGATTTTTGTAGAAAGCTACATTATTTTGTCAAGTTATGTATTGATTGATTGATAAGTGTGCATGTGTTGATGGAGGTGGGAGGGGGGGCGTGCATTTCGTGTCACTGCTGCATCAAAACACATGCAATGTTGCTTAGTAAAAGAATAGGTGAAGACATTTTAATAATAATTATGATTGTAATAATTTCCTAATTGATGTTTCCCTCATATCATGATAAGGTAAATCAGTATTATTTCAAGGATTTAAATGTTTGGTGGATTGACAAACTGAAAAATACCATTAAACAAGACAGAAGACAAGCATCTCATGATTTATGTATTGAGTCTGTTTTGACGCCCATTTTCTGTACTCCCAGTGATATCGAGCAAATATCAAGTGATATCACCTCTTAGATGCCTGAAATATACTTCACGTTTGATAATGAATATATTGTATGTGCAGTGGCAGTAATGCAGTAATCATCAGTGATGTCATATGATGACAATTGTTGATTTCAGGAGTGTGGTGAAGCGAGGAAAGAGCCTGGCTTTCACGCAGGATGAGGAGAAAGTCATCTTATCGGACAAGTCTGGAGATGTCTACAGCTTCCCCGTTTCTGAGCCTGACAGCCAAGGGGAGCTAACTCATGGCCACCTTTCCATGGTGCTGGATCTGGTGAGAAACCGTTTCTCAATTTGATTCAAGTTCAATTCATCCCAAGTGTCACTTCAGTGATCATCTTGCATACATATTGCTGGGATTTATACCTGTGTCTTTTATATTCATTGTTGGATCAACAGCTAATGCCACAAAAAATCCCAGTCTCAATTTTTTATTTACTAATTCTGGTTGTGATATTAATTATTAGTTATCTTCATCATTGTAAAGATGACTTATGTTTCACTGAATTATATTAATAAAGAAAAACTGTTTTTGTACTTGAACATTTTTATTTAAAAAGTGTTCAAATACATCTGAGTTGAAGATAATAAGGAATATATAAAATAATGTTGTTGTTTTTTGGTTTTGCTTTTGCTTTTGTTGTTGTCTTTTTGTGTGTTGTTTTGTTCGAAATGCCACCCAAATCCCTTTACTAAATTTTGCGAGAGTAAATTTGTTGACTTTGAGTGTTTAATGAAATATGGGTCACAGTATGTGAATTATTCATTTTGAAACAATTTAATCTGTAGTAGATTGTAAGTTCAGAAAAATTTCTTGTTGAAACTTTTATTTATTTATTATTTGTTAAATTATTCTTTTCATGATTATGTCATTTGTCTCAATATCTTAAACTCAGTTTTTCAAATGCACATTTATTTATGCTCCATGCTGTTTCTCGGCCTATCGGCTATGTCACTGAGAACAGTGGAGAGTGGAGAGCACACTGGCCTTGCTCAAATGAGCTGCATATTTACGTTATATACACAAAATATATCTCCATTACCAAGGCAATTCTGAACTGCTTCCATAGAAATATGCATGAAATATTGACATACACCTAATTGTGTGTCAGCTCTGTGTAATTTCTCAATGTGGGCTTTTTAGCTTGTGAACCAGTATTCCTTCACAAATCTCTCTCAGTTGATTGAATGCAAGCATCAAGTATACACAAAGTCTACTGCACTGAATAATACACTGGGACATCGCTGTTGAGAGTTTCTGCAACATTGTACCACAGTGTTTGAAAGCAAACAACATAGAGAATGACAGAGAGCATATATCAATTTTTGAGGAAAACAGCGAGCTTGAAATTTGGTGCCTTCAAAACCTGTCTGTGATGTCATAACCTTTGTGTAGAGTGACATCATAATAGAAACTTGCCTTGCAAGACATGCTTCATTATAAGGATGCTACACACTTTCAATGCGGGTAAAGTATTTCAGAAATGGATAACCCACAGTTGTTATATATTGTCCAATAAAATACTGCACGCATGTCTACCCACTAGATGGACCCAGGGGTGTACAAATATTCATTCTATTAAGAAATTCGTGGATAATTTCTCATCTTATTAACAAATAAAGGCAAGAATTACAATATCTAGGCATCAACATCAAAATTAGAATTCATAAACAGTAATATTGTCAACGACGGGAATCGCGAAAAAAGATATTCAGTGTACACGTTCCTTCGTCGATCATAACGTGGAAGAATAGTTTTTGCACCTATCCCCGGCAATAAATTTCATTAATCTACTTTGATGTAATCTCTTCCGAGTCATATTGCACGTGCTGAACAGGAAGTGACAGTGAAATGTGTTCTAAAATCGGGAGCTTATCATAAAAACAACAACAACTAAAGGCAACCAGGCACAAAAACTAGTAAGACCACGAGAGCTGGGGTTTACACAGTTTAATGGACAACTTTAGCAAAGGGGACGGGCAAAATTATTTTATTTTTTAGATGTACGGAGGGTTAATTTTGTTTTGATTTTCAAGTGTATAAGACGTCTTTTGTTCCTTATTTGTTTGTGTGTTTCTGTAGCAACAATGAGAAAGTTAAAATACGTGAACTGTTCCCGTTGATAATTGTTTTTTATGACATTGTGTTCTTGTATTTTTCATTAAAACACACTTCATTTTAACATGTCTCTCACGAGTGAAGTGTTCAATTTTAGTTGTTTAATGCACACAGACGTAAGAACAAGGATCTGTAAGATATCTGTCATGAATATTCATTAAAGGCAAACTAACTCAGGAAAAACATTTTTCATCTGCCACTTAGATGTTTTACACACGTCCTTTGTAATGCTATTAGTATTAGTATAATGCTTGTGTAACACTTCATTGAATGCTCCCGTTATTTGTTATTCATAAATGAAACACAATGTCATGAAACAGTCAGGATTTCAATTTTATTTTTTTTATTTATCACAGTTTGAAATGTAAAATTGGTCTGTCATGACCATGGTCTACCATAGATTTGTATGTAATGACCATGGTCAACCATTACTTTGTATGAGAACATCACCATGGTCTACCATTGTTTTGTCTAAGATGACCATGGTCTACCCTGGTTTCTGGTGACCATGGTCTATAATGACCATCGTCTGCTGTGGTATACCATGGTCACCATGGCCTACCATGGTATACCATGGGGAGAAATGTTGGTGACCACGGTCTACCATGGTTTCTGGTGACCATGGTCTATAATGACCATGGTCTGCTGTGGTATACCATGGTGACCATGGTCTACCATGGTCTACCATGGGGAGAAATGTTAGTGAACACGGTTTAGCATGGTAAACCATGGTATTACCATGGTTTTCGTGGTAAGCCGTGGTTGACCATGGTCAACCATGGTGCCTTTTCAGCTGGGTAAGAATTATTGTAAACGAATATATGACAAGTCAGCAAACATTCAATGGCAGTAAACTTCATCTGGAGACTTGCAGCAGAGCAAGAGAGAGAGGAGAGAAAGAGAGTGGAGGAGAGAGAAAAAGGAGGAGGGAGGAGAGAGAGAGGAGGAGGGAGAGGAGGGAGAGAGAAGAGGAGGAGAGAGAAGAGGAGAGAGAGAGGAGGAGAGAGGAGGAGGAGGAGGAGAGAGAGAGAGGGAGAGAGAGAGAGAGAGAGGAGAGAGAGAGAGGACTGACTGACTTTGGCTTTATGCGCTTTTAGCAAGATTCCAGCAACATTACGTGTGGGGGACTCAGAAATGGGCTTCACACACATTGTACCCATGTGGGATTTGAACCCGGTCTTGGTGTGCTTGAAGCCAGCGCTTTAACCACTAGACTACCCCACCCCAGAGGAGAGAGAGAGCGAGGGAGAGAAGAGGAGGGAGAGAGAGAGAGAGAGAGAGGAGGGAGAGAGAGAAGAGAGGAGGGAGGAGAGAAGAGGAGAGAAGGAGAGAGAGAGAGAGAGAGAGGAGAGAGAGAGAGAGGAGAGAGGAGGAGAGAGAGAGGGAGAGTGAGGAGAGAGGGAGGGAGGGAGAGAGAGGAGAGAGGGAGGAGAGAGGAGAGAGGGAGAGGAGAGAGAGGAGGGAGAGAGAGGAGAGGGAGAGAGGAGAGGAGGGAGAGAGGAGGAGAGAGGAGAGGAGGGGGAGAGAGGGAGAGGAGGGAGAGAGAGAGAGGAGAGAAAGAGGAGAGGAGGGAGGGAGAGAGAGAGAGAGGAGAGAGAGGAGGGAGAGAGAGTTGAGAGAGAAGAGAGGAGAGAGAGAGAGAGAGAGGAGAGAGAGAGTCTGGATGAAACAAGTGGGTTGTTTTTGGGTAGATAGGTTTGTTGGGTTTGGGTAGATAGGTTTGTTGGGTTTGGGTAAATAGGTTTGTTGGGTTTGGGTAGATAGATTTGTTGGGTTTGGGTAGATAGGTTTGTTGGGTTTGGGTAGATAGGTTTGTTGGATTTGGGTAGATAGGTTTGTTGGGTTTGGGTAGATAGGTTTGTTCGGTTTGGGTAGATAGGTTTATTGGGTTTGGGTAGATAGGTTTATTGGGTTTGGGTAGATAGGTTTATTGGGTTTTGGTAGACAGGTTTGTTGGGTTTGGGTAGATAGGTTTGTTGATGTGGATTGTTGTTCATCACATCAATCACTGGATTGCCTGGTCCAGACTTGATTCCAGGTCCGAGTCAGACAGCCTCACTATTGGCTAGTGCATCACTGAACATGAATACACACTCATTCGTCAAATATATTGGGCTTCCTATGTCAGGAGCATGTGAGTGAGTTTAGGTTTATGCCACTTTAGCAACATTCCAGCAATATAACGGCAAGGGAACCAGATATTGGCTTCACACATTGTACCCATGTGGGGAATCGAACCTGGGTCTAGATATTCGAAGCTCACTTAGAGCTAAGATAGTCGTAAGTAAATGTTAATGCATGACACTTATGACTATCTTAGCGCTAAGAGAGCTTAAAAAAATCTAGGCCCTGAGTCTTCGGCATGACGAGTGAATGGTTTAACCACAAGGCTACCCCACCGCCCCTCCAGGGGTGGAAATAACCCATTGCCCGACGCCCGAGTCCAGTGTTTTTTTCTGTCGGGCAAGCAAATTTGTATATCACACTGTACCGGTGTCCAGTTGACTTTCCAATATTAATTATGTTGTTTAGTTAAATAATCAACATGAAAACGGCCGGTATAGTGGAAAAATTATCAGGGCAAGTGATTTTACATGTGCAACTGTACCGGAGTACCGGAGTACACTAGCAATTTTAAAGTTATGTCCACTCCTGCCCTCCTGTGTCATGAAAAGTCAGGAGCACTAGCAGTTACTTCATCAATTAGTGTGGTATTGCTGGGACATTGTTAAAGTGTGTAAAATCATATTTACTCACTAACTTCTCACTACGTCAATAGTATGTCGTTACGAAGCAGTCAGAAATATTTCAGCAAAACCTGCACAGACTGATGTGTACTTGAGTTGTACTTTGTGTATGTCTTTATGGCGGGTAAATATTAACATGTATGTAGGGCTCTGACGGGTAGCAAAAATCGGACTCGAGTACCCGGGGGATACGACCGGACCCGGACTTGAGTACCCGAAAATTATAGTTTAAATTTTAGTGGGAGCTACACGCATCTGTTTTAGGTAGTTTTCAATGGAATTTCACACAAGAATGCCGCACTAATAAGTTATAATATCTGTATTGAATTGAAAAATTACACGAAATCTTTCCTTAAAACATGTGGTTATCAATTTGATGAAACACAAACTTAATATCGACTAGGATCGGTCTATGCAGGGCCACACTACTCAACTAAGCACTGGCGCAAACAGCCCATAGCAGAAACCAGTTCATGTGAGGTATAGCGTCACATGTCGCAACACGTGGTTATGAATACACAATATTGAGAGTTTGAGAAGCTTTGAGACTGAGGTAACAATGAGGTTCAACCCACAATGCAGAGAACAAAACTCAGAAAAAACAAGCCATTTTCAAAATCAGAACATTTGTTAAAGCACATTTCGTTTTACAGTGAATATCAAATGTGAATTTCTTTGAAAAGATTGTGCATTGTAACAAAGTACATCATGGACGATCCTCCACACGTCTAGTGGCAAGAATGCATGACTTTAGATCCCACTCGACTGTGATGTAATGCCCTGTGACGGTGATGTAACCATGGGTTGCACAGCTGGTCCACATATCTGTTGTCAAATATACGCCAGGGGACTGCTTTAGAATATCCTTAAGCTGAGTTTTGGTGTCGGCATATTCCTTCATAAGGTAATTATGAAGAGTCTTTGGATATGGTACGATTTAACTTAGATTCAGTGAGTGACAAACATCACGAAAACCATTACCTGTAACAAGATTCAAAGGTCTGAGCTAGGTCACTAATGCACATCATCATGGCCTTGCAGGTGAGTGTCTCATGTTTTTGAGTCAAGCTTTTTTCGGTTGTAACCCCCAAATATCCCTGCTTCAGCGTGGCTTGCTTTTTGACTGGATTTTTGGAAGAATCATCCACACTGACGGACTTGTGTTTCACGTTGAGATGTTTCCTCATTGAGCTTGTTGAGCTCCCTGCATAACTCAGCATAATGCCGCAAAGGCGACACTTGGTTCTGTGTTTTGAAGTGTCAAGATCAAAATGGGCCCAGACGTTCGACCTTTTCTCATCCATGACTGCACACATGGTCACGTTTAGTTTAGAGTTATCACCCTTTGTCGGGTACTCGGGTACTCGAATCCTGGAATTTGGACTCAAGTCCTGCTGTAGCCGACCCGTTGCCGAGTACTCGAGTACCCGTCAGAGCCCTGCATGTGTGATGGTATTTGTTTAAGAATCTAAATATCAGAGTTAATATTATCTGGAATGTCATAGTTAATTAAGACCACAGCAACAAGCTCATACATCTGTTTTAAGAATCAGATTGTGTATGTATATTACTATGCCACATATTGTCATGATTACTGACTTAAACTGACATATGGAATAGATTGCTAGCTGGGACTCTGCTAATCTGGAACCCTGCATTCTGCACAGTTACATCTGTGGAGGCATATTTGTTATACATATGGAAAATGTTTGTGGATTATAATGCATGCATGAATGTACAAGTTTTAAACAAAATATTTCCGATAGGATCCTCCAGGCTTCAGTGTTCAAAGGATAATTAATTAATAAGAGAAATAAGATAATTTGGTCATTTTTCCCAAATTCATTTTCAGATTTGATTAATTTACAATTAATTATTAATTTGCATTTGGGTGACACATAGAATTTTGTAATTGTATCAGGTCATGAGGTAACAACTATTTTTCCTTTGATGACATAGAATTTTCAGTACAAATCTGTGTCTACCCAGGAATCATGTCCGTGTATCTGTTTCCTACCCTCCCAGGAATCCATTTCCTACCCTCCAAGCCAGGTGTGCGTGTGATCTGACAAGGTGATGCGCTGTCTTCATTGTTATCACTGTTGTAGTGGTTTGACAGGCTTCATTAACACTGGTAGATAAATAGTGGCTGTTTGATCATGTTCAACTGGGGGAGCTCATATCATATCAATAATTCAACAGGCAAACAGAGGGTAGTTTTACAACTACATTTTCCTGCGGGTTTGAACAAACAAATACTTCCTAAAATCAATTTTGGATCATGCTTCATGCAGGTTTTCTTACATTTTTATTCATGGTAATTTTTGTGTGATCTTTTATTAAATATTCTGAAATATTGTGTTGTTTTAACTTACTTTGTGGCTGAATGAATGCATTTTTATATTTTTTCTTATGTCAGTGTAGCCATATATATTGGGCAATTAATCTTGCCTAAATTGACTGTTTATCCCATGTTAAAGCGATAACTCTGTCTTTGTTATAATGCATTTGGTTGTTTCCTTTATCAGCTGTTGTGTGAGCCAGCGATTTTTGTGTTTTATGATCACCCATAGGCAAAAATGTTAAGTTAATGTTTGAAAAGGCAGTCCCTGATATAATACAATGTAATTTAGCATAATTTAAAAAGAGATCAAACGTATATTTTATCATTTAAATGTTCTAAGCTTTGTGATCACACTAGGATGGGCACCACATCTGTTTATCTAACACATAACAGCCTATAATTTCTTGTAAAATAAAATATCTGAAACAGTACGTATAATTTGGAATGAAATGAACATTTGGGAGAAATTTGTCAGTTTAATAATCGGATTCGCATGCCAAAGTCAGACATTCATTTTAATACACTTTAACATATCCTTGCCTATCAAGCTGTCACACTGTAATGTGCTGAAATTTCTGTTCAATGAATTTAAAAAAAAAAAAAAAATTCCATATATTAGTGTACAGACTCACTTGAGGCAAACTCCACAATAAAAGTGCATCAAAAATAGTTTAGATCAGTGTCCCATGTATTTTGTGCTGAATGCTTCATCCTTCATTATAAAGAGGCGGCGGTGGGCTAGCCGTGTGGTTAAGGCGTTCACTCATCACGCCTAAGACCCGGGTTCGATTCACCACATGGGTACAATGTGTGAAGCCCATTTCTGGTGTCCCCTGCTGTGATATTGCTGAAATATTGCTAAAAGCTGTGTAAAACTTAACTCACTCACACGCATTATAAAGGTATATATGTATATGTTTGAATTCTTTTGAATTGCTTATCCTTACTGCATCAAAGTCATAATATCTTTTTGGACTGTTCTCACATTATCAGTATTTTTAGATTTTTTAACAATCCTCTTTACTGTCACTTTACTATTGAGTATTTTTCATTTTCCTTTTTAAATGATATTCATTTACACAAAAATCTCTTAAACACTAAATATGTTTTTGTGAATGAGCTGAATGAGTGGGTAGAGTTTTGTGCAACTTTTAGCAACATTCCAGCAATATCATGGTATGGGACACCAGAAATTTTATACCCATGTGGGGAATTGAACCTGGGTCTTCTGCCATTGCTTAATCACTAGTCTACCCCATTGCCCTGTGAATGTGTAGAGTTGACCACACCTTAATTAGAACAATATTTCAGTATATGAAAGCATGCCAGCTGGCTCTCTTAAGGAAAATGCTCATAAATCTCCCATTCATTAGACTTGATGGATATTCTGGAAAAACAAGGTGAGGTGAGGTGAAATTGGGTTTAACATCGTGCTTGAGAATATTTCGCTCATATGACGATGTGCATGCGTGTGTATGTGTTTGTGCGGCTGCTTGTACTAGCCCAGACTTAAGCTGGTTTTATAGTGCTAGCCCACTGAGATACCATGCCGCAGTGAAGCATCAATACCCCACTCAGACACATTATACTGACTCCGAACCGACCAGTCCTTGTTGTACCCATTAATGCCGAGCGCCAGGCAGGGACAAACAAGTACCATATTTTAACGTCTTTTGGTATGACACGGTCGGGGATCGAACCCGCGACCTTCCGCTCTCCGGGCAGACACTCTAACCACTACACCGCGGAGGCGGTCTCTGGAAAAACAAGGTGTGTTGGGTAAACAAATATATTGTGTTTTTCTTCTTTTGTACAAACTTTGACAGAAAACATAATATGTGTCAGACAAAGATTTCTTACTTTCAGGTCAGCTTCAGTCCACCCCCAGTCATATCAAGACTGGGGTTTGATTTTACACATGGGTACACTGTGTGTGAACCACCATGACATTGATAGAATGTTTCTTAAAGCAGTATTAACTCGTACGTACTCACTCCCGATCAGTTCAGAATAGTGAAAAACATGTGTTTTGAAATCTGATCATTCTGTGATTTGTTTGAGTGGTATTCTAGAAGTCGGTGGTATAGGGATGATGACAAGACTTTATGGATGATAATGGTATTGTGAAAAAAATTAAAAATATGAAAATAAATTAAAAAAATAAAGAAGTTGATCATCCATAAGGTTTTGTCATCTCTGATCATTCTAGAGACTTATTCACCACACAAGACCTGATGCAGCATGTGCCCCTTGCAGTTCCAGACAATGTGTGATGCCTTTCACTTTACTTATGATTGTAAGTCTACTGTAAGTGTTTAACCGAGTATGTTGCTACTTGCAGGTGCTTACAAAGGGGGACCAGTATGTGGTGACATGTGACCGCGATGAGAAGATACGGGTCAGCAACTTCCCCAACTCCTACAACATATACAGCTTCTGTCTAGGACACACTGAGTAAGTCTAGGACACACTGACTAAGTCTAGGACACATTGAGTAAGTCTAGGACACACTGACTAAGTCTAGGACACATTGAATAAGTGTAGGACACATTGAGTAAGTCTAGGACACACTGAGTAAGTCTAGGACACACTGATTAAGTCTAGGACACATTGAATAAGTCTAGGACACACTAAGTCTAGGACACATGAAGTAAGTCTAGGACACATGAAGTAAGTCTAGGATACACTGAGTAAGTCTAGGACACATGGAGTAAGTCTAGGATATGCTGAATAAGTGTAGGACACACTGAATAAGTCTTGGACACACTGAGTAAGTCTAGGATACATGGTGTAAGTCTAGAACACACTGAGTAAGTCTAGGATACATGGAGTAAGTCTAGGATATGCTGAGTAAGTCTAGGACACATTGAGTAAGTCTAGGACACATGGAGTAAACATGTCAGACTGAGTCTGAGTAAGTCTAGAACACACTGAGTAAGTCTAGAACACACTGAGTAAGTCTAGGATACATGGCGTTAACATGGGACACTGATTAATCTAGGACAAACTGAATAAGTGTAGGACACACTGAATAAGTCTAGGACACACTGAGTAAGTCTAGGATACATGGAGTTAACATGGGACACTGATTAATCTAGGACAAACTGAATAAGTGTAGGACACACTGAATAAGTCTAGGACAAACTGAATAAGTCTAGGTTACAAGGAGTAAGTCTAGGACACACTGAGTAAGTCTAGGATACATGGAGTAAGTCTAGGACACACTGAATAAGTCTAGGACACACTGAGTAAGTCTAGGACACACTGAATAAGTCTAGGACACACTGAGTAAGACTAGGATACATGGAGTTAACATGGGACACTGATTAATCTAGGACAAACTGAATAAGTGTAGGACACACTGAATAAGTCTAGGACAAACTGAATAAGTCTAGGTTACATGGAGTAAGTCTAGGACACACTGAGTAAGTCTAGGATACATGGAGTAAGTCTAGGACACACTTAGTAAGTCTAGGTTACATGGAGTAAGTCTAGGACACACTGAGTAAGTCTAGGATACTTTGAGTAAGTCTAGGACACATTGAGTATTATTATTATCAACTATAAAATTATTTCAATATTTTATCCATCTATGTGTAGTGTCGAAACACCATTTTCAGATTGTTTGAATCAGTTTATATTTGCTGTGTCCTTCAGTGACGATAGCAAGTAGCTGCCTTGGTTCATTTAATTTAGGTTCTAAGCGTGATGAGATGAGATATATGCTTAAGTCCTATCTGCCATCTCAACACAGACACAGTAGCACTTACTTGATCGTTGTTAACATCATTGCTTAATTAGGATTAACAGGTTTAAGCATTAATACCATTCTCCATGTATACTGAATTAGTTGGATGAAACAACTCTTGATTAGGGGTGAAACAACCCCTAATATGGGATGAATTCACCTAGTTTGGAATTGGGATGTAACAACCCAGGTGAAACTACTTGGTGTGAAATGACCCAGAACCCCTGTTCACTGTAGGAACAGCTAGTAAAAATAATGTTCCATGGTCAACATGCATGGGGATATCAACCAGTTACAATGACAAAAGAAGCACCCCAATTGTTAGAAGTATATCAATGTCAAAATATTGATGTAGATTGAAATCTGCCATAACTGCTGGAGCAAAGGGTGAGCCCTGCTCATCATCCATTGTGTGGGGGGCGGTGGGGTAGCCTAGTGGCTAAGGCGTTCGCTCGTCACGCTGAAGACCCGGGTTCGATTCCCCACATGGGTACAATGTGTTAAGCCCATTTCTGGTGTCCCCTGCCGTGATATTGCTGGAATATTGCTAAAAGCGGCGTAAAACCAAACTCACTCACTCCATTGTGTGGAATGCTATAAACGCTATACATTCTCTATAAACGCTACAAAGGTCCCGGCATGGTGCTTGCATGACCACAGGAAAAGACATATCACAAGAGAAATGTTCCACATTGTATTTTTAAAAGAATAGAGTTTAATTTTATTTTAATAGAAACTGAAATAATGTTTAAACTTCATGAATAATTTACTTAAATATTGGCTGTTTGACACTATGGATTACCCTGGGATCTATGAAAATTGGGCACTGTCAAAAACAGGAAAAGGTTAGGTTCGTTTTACGTTCATCCTCATCTTGGTTAAAAATCAGAAGGTAAAGGACCAACCATGTCAGCTGAAAAATAATTCCGCCCTACTGTTGTAAGGCGTGTTTTTTTTACAAATGATATCTAGCTTCTTGGAATTATGTTTAAAGTATTCAATTTTGCAGCTGCAGCTGAAAAAACATGTATTCTCCACACAAAGTCCTGAGCAACCATCCAGTCCCCCTCAGGAATATATATTGTATGGTCCAAATAACAATAATCTTGTTTAGAAAGGAACTGAATCTTGTCATTACACGGTGACTCAAAGTGATTAGGCATTGCGTGTTGCAGGTAGATGATAATGACTAACATTGTAAAAATGCCATGAATTCAAATGAATAAGCAAATGATTTTGTATGTATCAGTTGTTTTAGTGTTTTTCTTGCTTGCTGTTTTTCATCAAAGGATTACAGGTGTTGGGTGACAATCTGTTCCTTTAACTGATTCAAAATTCCTATTCTTTTGAAACTCAACTCTCATACCATTTTAATCCAGACAAGAATTTTGTTTGAAATAGGATGCCATTCAAATAATCATGAATTTTGTTCAGAGGATCTTATTATTATGTGTTGTAACCAAGTAAATAGCACTAGCACGGTAATCTAAAGATGCTACGACATGTTTAGTCCCGACCAGGGCCTAGATTTTCGAAGCCCTCTTAGAGCTAAGATAGTCGTAAGTGCCATACATTAGCATTAACTTACGACTATCTTAGCTCTAAGAGAGCTTCGAAAATCTAGGCCCAGGATGTTCCCTATGAGGTTAATTCTGGCATTCATTGGCTAGGATTGTTTTTTGTTGTAGCTTCATCACCTGCCTCAGTTATGTCCAAGAAGATGACATTCTGCTGTCAGGGTCAGGGGTAAGTTGGCCAGTTTACATTTTGTTTGATCAATGTCAGTTTTGTGGTTATTTTGTTTTAAATGTCACTGGCTCACAGATTCAAGCAACCCTCCACCAAATGACTCACAAACTGATTCTCTCACCCTCCACCAATGACTCACAAACTGATTCTCTCACCTTCCACCAAATGACTCACAAACTGATTCTCTCACCTTCCACCAAATGACTCGCAAACTGATTCTCTCACCTTCCACCAAATGACTCGCAAACTGATTCGCTCACCCTCCACCAAATGACTCACAAAGTGATTCTCTTACCTTCCACCAAATGACTCACAAACTGATTCTCTCACCCTCCACCAATGACTCACAAACTGATTCTCTCACCCTCCACCAAATGACTCACAAACTGATTCTCTCACCCTCCACCTAATGACTCACAAACTGATTCTCTCACCTCCACCAAATGACTCACAAACTGATTCTCTCACCCTCCACCAATGACTCACAAACTGATTCTCTCACCCACCACCAACCACCAAATGATTCTCTCTCCCTCCACCAAATGACTCACAAATTCTCTCACCTCCACCAAATGACTCACAAACTGATTCTCTCACCCTCCACCAAATGACTCACAAACTGATTCTCTCACCTCCACCAAATGACTCACAAACTGATTCTCTCACCCTCCACCAAATGACTCACAAACTGATTCTCTCACCCTCCACCTAATGACTCACAAACTGATTCTCTCACCCTCCACCAAATGACTCACAAACTGATTCTCTCACCCTCCACCAAATGACTCACAAACTGATTTTCTCACCCTCCACCAAATGACTCCTGATTTTCTCACCCTCCACCAAATGACTCACAAACTGATTCTCTCACCTCCACCAAATGACTCACAAGCTGAACTCCACCAAATGACTCACAAACTGAGTTCTCTCACCAAATGACTCACAAACTGATTCTCTCACCCTCCACCAAATGACTCACAGAACCTACCACCAAACGCCTCACTTCTCTCTCACGTTCCACCGTAATGCCTCACAGATTTTCTTCTGCCTCACCTCTCCACCTAATGCCTCACAGATTCTCTCACCTCCACCTAATGCCTCACAGATTCTCTCACCCTCCACCTAATGCCTCACAGATTCTCTCACCCTCCACCACCAGATTCTCTCAATCCACCTCACAGATTCTCACCCTCACCCTCCACCTCCAATGATGACTCACAGATTCTCTCACCCTCCACCTAATGCCTCACAGATTCTCTCACCCTCCACCTAATGCCTCACAGATTCTCTCACCCTCCACCTAATGACTCACAGATTCTCTCACCCTCCACCTAATGCCTCACAGATTCTCTCACCCTCCACCTAATGCCTCACAGATTCTCTCACCCTCCACCTAATGACTCACAGATTCTCTCACCCTCCACCTAATGCCTCACAGATTCTCTCACCCTCCACCCACTCACAAATGACAGATTCTCCCTCCACCTCACAGATTCTCTCACCCTCCACCCTAATGCCTCACAGATTTCTCTCACCCTCCACCTCTCACCCTCCACTTCCTGCCTCCACAGATTCTCACACCCTCCACCTAATGCCTCACAGATTTCTCTCACACCTCCCACTGAATGCCTCACAGATTCTCTCACCCTCCACCTAATGCCTCACAGATTCTCTCTCCCACCCCTCCAGACTCTCACCCTCCACCTAATGACTCACAGATTCTCTCACCCTCCACCAAATGACTCACAGATTCTCTCACCCTCCTCCTAATGACTCACAGATTTTCTCACCCTCCACCTAATGACTCACAGATTCTCTCACCCTCCACCTAATGACTCACAGATTCTCTCACCCTCCACCTAATGCCTCACAAACTGATTCACTTAACCACCATGAATATCCAATGTCACCCTCCCACTTACACTGCCAAAGTAGATTCATGGAATCAATCAACTTGACTGACTCACTTTAACCTCACTCCCATCTCTCACCAACTCACCCACTAAAAGCCCTGGAATCACCAACCTCACCTAACCCTCACCCTCACCACCTCACCTCACCAACTCTCCACTCTCCACACCTCACCTCACTCTCACCTCTCATCTCACTCCACCTCACCCCCTCACCTCTCTCACTCTCACCCCCACCTCACCTCACCTCACTCCACCTCACCCCACTACTCCTCACTCACCTCACTCCTCATCTCACCTCACACCTCACCCCACCTCACCTCACCCCACCTCACCTAACCACACCTCACCCCACTCACCTCACCCCACCCCACCCACCTCATCTCACTCCACCTCACCCCCCCCCCCCAACTCACCTCATCTCACTCCACCTCACCCCACTCTACTCCACCCCACCCCAACTCACCTCATCTCACTCCACCTCACCCCACCCAACCTCACCTAACCCACACCTCACCCCACTCACCTCACCCACCTCACCTCATCTCTCACTCCACCTCACCCCCACCTTATCTCATCTCACTCCACCTCACCCCCCCATCTCATCTCACCTCACTCACTCACCACCTCACCTCACCTCACCCACCTCACTCCACCTCACCCAACCTCACCTAACCACACCTCACCCCACTCCACCTCACCCCACCTGACCTCATCTCACTCCATCTCACCCCACGTCACCTCATCTCACTCCACCTCACCCCACCTGACCTCATCTCACTCCATCTCACCGCTCCTCACCTCACCTCACCCCACTACTCCAGCCACCCTGTTATGTGCCTACTGTCCTGTACTAGAGCATTGCTTTGTGGATAGACAATAAAGCAGACTCCAAATTCCAACCCAAAATCCTGTGACTCGTAACTCTCCAGCCAGGCTCAAAAACTCCACACCATATCCAATGACCCCTTATTCCAATGTGTGATTTTCCCATTATTGCCACTAACATATATCCCATTTAAACCAAACATGTTACACATTTGAAGTTATCAATTAATGGTGCAGAACACGTGACTGAGGATGTAACAAGTGGTTCATGTATACGTAGCCGCTGGAATGGTTGGTAACACGTGACTGGACATACAGGAAATCCATGGGTGACCATACGCTCATAGCTTCCTTGCATCATTGGAACAAAGTTTATCATCTTTGATGAAAAATAGTGACGTATTGTCCTGTGTCACAGCTGCCTATGATCGGTGTGACTACCTGTGAAGCACGGAGGGGTTGAATGCTTCTTGTGTCCCAGTTCATGGACACAGGAACACCGTGTCATTTTTTTATGCATTCATGAACACAATTATGTATCTTAAATGTGTACATGTAGTATTTCATAATATGAAACATTTGGGGTTTTGTTGAATAACAGCTGTCTGCTGGAAATTCAGAATTTGATAAATACTTAGTAATGTAAAACATATCTATCAGGTTATTTATTGGAAATAATATGTTTATTCCATCTGTGAACCTTTGAATATTTTAAAGTGACGTGTCAGAGGAAATCTCTGTAGGCATGTGTATGGTATTAGTTCCATGTTGTTTAATTGCAAAAATAGAAAGTTGTACTTCAAGGCTCTTTTGATGACAGCAGTTCAACTACTTCTGTAATGTAATAATTGTCAAATCATTCTCTGTTGATATTGCTGTGGAACATTAACTTGTGAAATATGTTGGCAAGGGTTTTTACAGCGTCCATGCACATGCAATGCACATCGGGTAAAACCTTCAACAAAACATTCATAGTTTTCATGTATCTTTGTTCTAATGAACAGGCAATATTTGATGAGAGGCATGAGTGATAAGGGGACATAGCCATGTGGTAACATTTGTAATGTAATAATAGTGACTTAGCCACCAGGTAGCCACCATGTTACAAGGATACACATTTTTATGTTTTTTTATTGACACATAATAAGCACTTTAATTGAATACTGAAAATGTGTTGCCTTCCCGAGTGACACGCAATTCAGGAAGTTGCCAGACAGTAGTCCATTGTCATAACTTTATGTTGGATTACATTGTCATTTCATCTGTTCTTCACTAGTCTAGGAAGACTAGAATCTTTAAAGGCCACAGTGGATATCTGCTTGTGTGAAATATTATGCTCCTAAGTTTTTAGTTAATGGATGAATTCTGTGTTCTGTTCTGTTACTGAATTCATGTGTCCTGTTACTTACGTGTACTGTTCTGTTACTGAATTCATCTGTCCTGTTACTTAAGTGTTCTGTTCTGTTACTGAATTCATCTGTCCTGTTACTTAAGTGTTCTGTTTTGTTACTGAATTCATCTGTCCTGTTACTTAAGTGTTCTGTTCTGTTACTGAATTCATGTGTCCCTAGACTTAAGTGTTCTGTTCTGTTACTGAATTCATGTGTCCTGTTACTTATGTGTTCTGTTCTGTTACTGAATTCATGTGTCCTGTTACTTAAGTGTTCTGTTCTGTTACTGAATTCATCTGTCCTGTTACTTAAGTGTTCTGTTCTGTTACTGAATTCATCTGTCCTGTTACTTAAGTGTTCTGTTCTGTTACTGAATTCATGTGTCCTGTTACTTAAGTGTTCTGTTCTGTTACTGAAGTCATGTGTCCTGTTCTGTTCTGTTACTGAATTCATGTGTACTGAATTCATCTGTCCTGTTATGTTCTGTTCTGTTACTTAAGTGTTCTGTTCTGTTACTGAATTCATCTGTCCTGTTACTTAAGTGTTCTGTTCTGTTACTGAATTCATCTGTCCTGTTACTTAAGTGTTCTGTTCTGTTACTGAATTCATCTGTCCTGTTACTTAAGTGTTCTGTTCTGTTACTGAATTCATCTGTCCTGTTACTTAAGTGTTCTGTTCTGTTACATGTGAATTCATCATGTGTCCTGTTACTTAAGTGTTCTGTTCTGTTACTGAATTCATGTGTCCTGTTACTTAAGTGTTCTGTTTTGTTACTGAATTCATGTGTACTGTTACTTAAGTGTTCTGTTCTGTTACTGAATTCATGTGTCTGTTACTGAATTCTGTTAACTTAAGTGTTCTGTTCTGTTACTGAATTCATGTGTACTGTTGTCCCCTTACTTAAGTGTTCTGTTCTGTTACTGAATTCATGTGTCCCTTACTTAAGTGTTCTGTTCTGTTACTGAATTCATGTGTCCCTATACTTAAGTGTTCTGTTCTGTTACTGAATTCATGTGTCCTGTTACTTAAGTGTTCTGTTCTGTTACTGAATTCATGTGTCCTGTTACTTAAGTGTTCTGTTCTGTTACTGAATTCATGTGTACTGTTACTTAAGTGTTCTGTTCTGTTACTGAATTCATGTGTCCCTGTTACTTAAGTGTTCTGTTCTGTTACTGAATTCATGTGTCCTGTTACTTAAGTGTTCTGTTCTGTTACTGAATTCATGTGTCCCTTGATTTAAGTGTTCTGTTCTGTTACTGAATTCATGTGTCCCTAGACTTAAGTGTTCTGTTCTGTTACTGAATTCATGTGTCCCTATACTTAAGTGTTCTGTTCTGTTACTAAATTCAAGAGTCCCCTTAAGTGTTCTGTTCTGTTACTGAATTCAAGAGCACGCTTAAGTGTTCTGTTCTGTTACTGAATTCAAGAGTCCCCTTAAGTGTTCTGGTCAGTCACTGAATTCATTTGGAGGAGTAAGTAATCCTTCCTACCCAACCTTCCATTTTTTTCTCACTAAGTGTCAACTTCTAAACCATGCACATGCTGTTTCACTGGCCTAGCTTTAGAGACACCAGTATTAAAGACTTGAACTTATAAAGTAAATAGAAGGTATTCTCATCAGCATGTTAGTGTATAAGCATATCTGGACTGGCAACGGTTAAATCAGACTGACTAACTGGGCTGTGAACCTGGGCCTTCTTTCACAAAGCACTAAGGTGATTGTAAGTCACTAAGGTAACCTTAGTGCAGCGTTAAAGAATGGGAGTTAAGGTTAACCTTAGTAAAGGTTGCTTCATGAATGGAGCCCCTGGAATTCATCGGAATTTTTAATGTTGACTCATTGTACTGATTGACCAGTGTGACCTGCCACTGACCTATGTGACTGATATGGAATTGATAAGACCTGTTATGGAAGTAGTGTCTTGTCGTTACTTAAGTTGTGTTCTCTTCGTATTATTTTACCTGTCCTATGGAGTTGACAAAATGCACCCTGATTATGTCTCACTCAGTCACCCACCCCCACCGAGATATTGCTGGAATATTGCTAAAAGTGGCATAAAACTAAACTCACACACTCATTCACTCTCACTCACTCACTCACTCACTCACTCACTCACTCACTCACTCACTCACTCACTCACTCACTCACTCACTCACTCACTCACTCACTCACTCACTCACTCACTCACTCACTCATTCACTCACTCACCCACCCACTCACTCACTCACTGTCGGTTCCAGGACACAACGATCCGTGCATGGACTCTTGAGGGTAAACAGCTGAGTTGTACAAAGACAGGTGCAGTCCAGTCTTCCAGCACTGACCAGGTGCCGGACGCAAACACTCGACCATCGGTCCAGAACATGTCCTACTGCCCTAAACACAGACTGCTAGCTGTGGCTTTCTATGGGTATGTGAAATTGATTTGAAATTCTTTGTTTGCTTCATGTTCAGCTCACCGGACTAGTATCCTGGTCGTGGCTCATCATCTGTCCTTCTGTCAGTTCACTGTCAGCAGACATTGCCCTTGAAACTACTTTGAAATATGGCTTCCATGGTGGCCATTTTGAAAATGTACTGCATGTATTATTCTGACATTTGGTATTCAGCAATTCAGTGTTTTTTAGAATATCATGGGTGTTTTTGGTTATATGTTGATTTTTTATTATGCTGTGACCCTTTACCTTTTAGGTACCCCTGTAAATTTGTCCATTTTGAAATCTCTAAAATTTTAAGCTCTATGGAGATGACCAAATTCTGTCCGATTAGCATGGCCACCCATTTTTCTCCAAAGTTCATGATAGCTTACAGCTCTGTGTTTTTTTGTAACTAATGATAATCTAAACCCTTTGTATTTTCATGGTCAGACCAATTTCCAGTTTAGTAGTGACCTTTATAAACACCCAGAACTAGAAGAAGCTAGAGTAACAACATGTCAGAGGGTATTGATCATAGTACAATAATAATTTCAAATTGATTTTTTTAAAGATCATGTTATAGAGCATTACTTATTAAACAACCTGAATTACATTGGATCAAAGGTGGAAGATTTGTTATTGTTATTGGAATTTCAATAGTAAATAACACTTAACAATACTAGATTTCTTACCATAATGGAAAATAAATTTCAATTGTCAAAACATTCTCATAAGTTCTTGTAAAAAATTGTGTTTCATTGTTTGAACATTTACTGTCTTGTTCAATGCGGAGATGCCAACCCTTACGCTGTGGGCATAATTATTACGATTTTGACCATTAAATTACCCCATTACACTTAATCTGCGAAAATTACGCTTTTCTATTCGTTTTAAGAAAATCAATAAAGTGGAAAAAATGTCACAGGGAAGTGTTTCGTAACGCACCGGTACAGGGGTTCAGAAATGGTCTTACTCTTAGCATCGCGCTCATTCCAGTTAACTTGTAAGGAATGAAAGTATTTTGTGTCTCATGACCAACAATTTTCGATGTATGGAGCTTCATAATGATTGGTCACGTGTATTTCTGACTAGAATATTTCCTATTTATGTGAATAAACCTTCTTACAAGTAATTTTTATAAAGTTATGACCTTTCACTAAGTATTTTTTTTTAATTATTTCACTTTTTAGGTCCAAATTACACTTTTTGACCTCCAGTATTACACTTAGGCCCAAAATAGGGTTGGCATCTCTGTTCAATGTCGGTCTTCCTCATGTATGGATTGAATATGCTTCTCCTCCTGTTCCACTTGTTACTCTAGTAAATACCCAGGGTGTTATTACTGCAAATACGGTATTCAGACTGCTGTTTCACTCCAGGTACCCCAATGTGGAAGTGTACAGATTGGCAGCCCGAGGCAAGGGCTGTTCCTTGACCCTGCAGCAGAGCATCTCATTAACTGTTGACCCCTGGGACATTAGTTTCGATGCTGATGGCAACCTGTGGCTGGTCCAGCCAGTAGAGGGCAGCACCCTACAGGTGTATCGCCCCCTTCCAGATGGTGGCCAGTCAGTCAAGGTAAACACTAATATCCATTTCTTTTCAAGTTGTTTTGATTTGTGAGAAATGGCTGATCCCATGGTGCTGTTGTTGTCGCTGCCGTTCTGTGCAGTCTGTCACATCATTTCAAGAATTATTTTGGGGAGGTTTTTGGCATTTTTTGTGTGTGTGTTTTTTTTACTTCCTTGGAGGGGAGTCTTGAGCCTCTTCTGTGTTATTTCAGATAAAGATTTAGATGGACAGATTCAAATAAACTCTTCTGTGTTATTTCAGATAAAGATTTAGATGGACAGGTTCAAATAAACCATGAAACAAATCTGTGCCCCGCTCAAAAAATAAAATCCTAATGGTTTTATTGGCTAAAAAGTTACAAGAAAAAAAATTTCAGATTGTTTCTTGCCCCATTGCACTTCATAAATTGCCAATAGTAAAATACTTTTAGTATTTAGAAGGAATATTACTTTGACTGGTGAATTTTTTTATTTTTGTTTTCCCTCCCTCCTCTGAGGACAAAAATCCATAAAACAAGAAATATAATTGGTCTAGCCTAAATATGTTTGTTGTTTTATCAGAATATCTAAATGTGTATTCTGTTTGAATGTTTATAGTTTAAGGTGTTTTCCGTCGCCAGGTTTATGGAATGCCTTATTTTTAGATAGTTTTAGGCTTTAATCTACTAAATATCAACAAAGATCACTCTCTCACTCTAAACCTTTACAATGAACCTATTGGGTTGTAAGAAGTATAAGGCACTTGCTTAATGATGTTAGGCCCATATTGATTTATAAAGAAAACTTTGTCTTCTTGTTCTCACTTTATGAGGGCAGTAAGGTAGCCTAGTGCTTAATACATTCGCTCGTCACGCTGAAGACCCAGGTTCGAATCCCCCACAAAGGTACAGTGTGTGAAACCCGTTTCTGGTGTTCCCCGCTGGGATATTGCTAGGATATTGCTAAAAGCGGCGTAAAAACTATACTCACTCACTCTCATTTTATGTGGAGCAAAGAGTCCTCTGAATTCTTCCTTTTGTGTCTGTTCCAGCTGAGTGAAGTGGGTGAGGGTGAGAAGACACTTTATCAGATACAGACGGACCTCAACTCAAAGTGGGACATGTTCCAGGGTATGTGTTCAGACAGTCTCTGTCACATGCTTTTCCACACAATAAATAAATAAATATTATTTTGCTGCTAAACGAATTTAGGAAAAATCTAAAGAACAATCTAAATGCTGGGCGTTAGCCCGTCTTTATTTCCAAATACATGAACTAGTATTCTGAATGTTGATGTATCTTTGGAAGTAACTATATATCACATTGATCTGATGTGGATGAAATCGCCTACATGGTGTTGGCAGAGTATCTTCCAGGACGATGGTTCAATCCAATCGCTGTTTTGTATTAAAATATGGTACTTGTAGTGGCCCTGCCTTGTAAAGGGAATAAAACATTGAATGATCGACTCAGAGTCTGTAATGCTTGTTCTGTGGAGGTTGTCCATGTCAATCTGTGGCCCAGTGTCTCAGTGACCTGCTACTATATTGCCTGCTTCAGTTTGTCCAAGTAAAGCCACCCATGCAGATCCGGTTTAGAATTGATCTTCAGTAACCCATGCTTGTCGTAAGAGGCGACTAACGGGATCAGGTGGTCAGGCTCACTGACTGGGTTCACACATGTCATCGTATCCCAATTGCGTAGATCGATGTTCATGCTGTTGATCCATAGATTTGAGGCATAAAACTGAACTCAATCAGTCATTCTAAGTAAAACCAGCAAGGGGAGGGAACTCTGCATGAATTGCTTCCTGACCCATGTAAATTTGTTTTGAATTATTTTATGTCTATTTTTAGGTTGCCTGACAACCCCAAGCATTATTCCCACCCTCTGGAAACAACGTATAGACAATATGACTGACTACTTGAAGCGTAAAGAGCAACGGATGACAGGGGACAAAGAAGGGGGAGATAACTCCAACAAAGACTCTCCTCCAGAAAAAGTTACAAAAAACTCATGATATTGACTACCGTGTGTATAATAAGCAGACATATTCATTTAATAAATAATTGTAACAATGTACTGTCTTATTTTCTTTATTTTCTGCCAGTTTTAAGGTGGAACTGGTACAATGAAAAATATCATTAAATGTTCGTGTAGATTTGTAACACTGCTATTTCATGCAGCTTGCTTAGCACTGGTCTGGAAACATGTTTTACAGTTTTTACCGAATCAAGTGACCAGTATCAGTAGCATCCATAATTACATTGTAAATAACATTGAGACACATCTGAAGTTTGAAACATTACAACAAAATTAATGTCTCTGGTCCTGTTAATATTTTGCAAACACCAGTTTTACTTCACAAACCAAACATGGCACTAATTGGGTTTCTATTCAGCCAGCAGTTAGTGGGTACCCAGAGGGATGTAATTATAATTGTCATATTTGCTTGATACACAGAACAATGTCAGTATATAATCATTTCAATCATCATTACTTTGTGAAAGTAGACACAATAGCTGTCTATAGTAAACTGTCATAGCAATAAAAAAAATAATTAAATTTTTGTATTAAAGTTTTGATTTCCAAGAGATACATGTTACATATAACAAGCAATTTGTAGTCATAGCAATATTGGCTTAGATTCTAACCCATGGTCAAGCAAATTCAAGTATTGTGATCCTTGTCCAGAGTTATATGTGACAGTTGAAGGGTCAACAGTAACTGAGGCTGACATGCCCATACAAGTCCACTCCAGAAAGACAGCTCCGTTCTCAGAATCTGAACCTACTCTCTGTGCCTCGGTTCAAACTGCAAACTTTTGAAGGAAATCCTTTGCCTGCTCTGCCCCTCTACTCTGGAACTCTCTCCCTATCACCATTAAATCAGCAGTTGACTTTAATTCCTTCAAACGACTTCTCAAGACTCATCTGTTTTCACTGCATTATGACTAGCTACTAGTCCCTCATTGTATATATGTATACAATCTACTAGTCCCTCATTGTATATATGTATATTATCCACCCACTTTGTTAGCGCTTTGAGCATGGGCCTTGTGCATGGAAAAGGCGCATTATAAGTTCACATTTATTATATTATTATTATTATATTACAAGTGAATAACATGTGGGTTAACAATAATACTAGTAAGCAATAATGTAGCATTATATTGGACAAAGAACTCGGGTGATATAGCCTTCCTTGACAGTTGTATAAAGATCTACAGCAGAATATCAGGAATAGTTGGAATTGGCTAAGGGTATAGGAGGGTCATAATTGGAGGTATGTTGTTTATGCAATAAGAAAACGTGCAGAAAGTGGCACCAACGTGACAGTAGGCATGTCTTCAGGCTTAGTTCTGTAGACTGGTGTTCATACTATCAACCACTAGTTCATCTGTTCTCCAGGCACTACTGGATGTTCTGCTGCATCAGGTACCAAATGAACATATTGTATCTGAGGTGTAATGTGGTTTAACACAGAACTTAAGATTATTGGGAGGTTTATGCACTATAGCATGTGTTTGGGGTTTTGTTGTGTTTTGTATGTGTGTGTGTGTGAGAGAGAGAGAGAGAGAGTTATGTATCTCCTTTATGGCAGTTTTTTAATGCTAGACCCCTGAGACACTGGTGCAGTTAAACATTGTTGGCCATTAATACTCAACATATGGATTTGGACCTGACCAATCCTTTTTCTATTTCTCCTCTCCCTTTAAATGCTCAGCATCAGGCAGGGTTACAGCAAGTACCTTCTTTGAACAATTTTCGGTTTGAGACATCTGGGATTGAACCATGAACTTTCCACGCCCTATCCACGTAACCAGTAGTTAGCAAGTTCAACATGAATACTTTGTTACCTGTTGATTCCCAAGTTGAAACTTCAAGTTAACCAGGTAAAAATTATTATTATGAAAGGGTGAGTGAGTGAGTATGGTTTTACACTGCTTTTATCAATATTCCAGCAACATCACAGTGGGGACACCAGAAATGGGCTTCACATGTACCCATGTGGGGAATCAAACCCTTGCCTTCAGCGTGACAAGCGAACACTTTAACCACAAGGCTACCCCACTGCCCCATATTATAAAAGAACCTGATGTGAAACTAACAGACAACAACTGTATGTGATATATTAACAATAGAGTTCTAACATTAACTAAGCTTACAAATCACTATGAAGGTACAAACAGCAGTACAGCAGTGGCAGTACAAACTAGAGCGGCAGTACAAACTAGAGTGGCAGTACAAACTAGAGCGGCAGTACAAACTATAGTGGCAATACAAACTATAGCAGCAGTACAAACTAGAGTGGCAGTACAAACTAGAGAGGCAGTACAAACTAGAGTGGCAGTACAAACTAGAGTGGGCAGTACAAACTAGAGCGGCAGTACAAACTAGAGCTGACAGTACAAACTAGAGTGGCAGTACAAACTAGAGTGGCAGTACAAACTAGAGTGGCAGTACAAACTAGAGTGGCAGTACAAACTAGAGTGGCAGTACAAACTAGAGTGGCAGTACAAACTAGAGTGGCAGTACAAACTAGAGCGGCAGTACAAACTAGAGCGGCAGTACAAACTAGAGCAGTACAAACTAGAGCGGCAGTACAAACTAGAGTGGCAGTACAAACTAGAGAGTGGCAGTACAAAGTAGTACAAACTAGAGCCGGCAGTACAAACTAGAGCAGCAGTACAAACTAGAGTGGGCAGTACAAACTAGAGCGGCAGTACAAACTAGAGTGGCAGTACAAACTAGAGCGGCAGTACAAACTAGAGTGACAGTACAAACTAGAGTGGCAGTACAAACTAGAGTGGCAGTACAAACTAGAGCTGACAGTACAAACTAGAGTGGCAGTACAAACTAGCAGTACAAACTGGCAGTACAAACTAGACAGGCAGTACAAACTAGAGTGGCAGTACAAACTAGAGTGGCAGTACAAACTAGAGAGGCAGTACAAGTACAAACTAGAGTACAAACTGGCAGTACAAACTAGAGTGGCAGTACAAACTAGACAGTACAAACCAGAGCTGGCAGTACAAACTAGGCGGCAGTACAAAACTAGAGGCAGTACAAACTAGAGCGGCAGTACAAACTAGAGCGGCAGTACAAACTAGGAGTGGCAGTACAAACTAGAGGCGGCAGTACAAACTAGAGTGGCAGTACAAACTAGAGCGGCAGTACAAACTAGAACAGTACAAACTAGAGCGACAGTACAAACTAGAGTGGCAGTACAAAAACTAGGTGGCAGTACAAAACTAGAGCGGCAGTACAAACTAGAGTGACAGGTACAAACTAGAGTAGGCAGTACAAACTAGAGCGGCAGTACAAACTAGCAGTACAAACTAGAGCGGCAGTACAAACTAGAGTGGCAGTACAAACTAGAGCTGGCAGTACAAACTAGAGCGGCAGTACAAACTAGAGTGGCAGTACAAACTAGAGCGGCAGTACAAACTAGAGAGGCAGTACAAACTAGAGCGGCAGTACAAACTAGAGTGACAGTACAAACTAGAGTGGCAGTACAAACTAGAGTGGCAGTACAAACTAGAGCGGCAGTACAAACTAGAGAGACAGTGGCAGTACAAACTAGAGTGGCAGTACAAACTAGAGCGGCAGTACAAACTAGAGCGGCAGTACAAACTAGAGTGGCAGTACAAACTAGAGTGGCAGTACAAACTAGAGACAGTACAAACTAGAGTGGCAGTACAAACTAGAGCGGCAGTACAAACTAGAGCGGCAGTACAAACTAGAGCGGCAGTACAAACTAGAGCGACAGTACAAACTAGAGTGGCAGTACAAACTAGAGCGGCAGTACAAACTAGAGTGGCAGTACAAACTAGAGCGGCAGTACAAACTAGAGCGGCAGTACAAACTAGAGCGGCAGTACAAACTAGAGCGGCAGTACAAACTAGAGCGGCAGTACAAACTAGAGGGGCAGTACAAACTAGAGCTAGAGTGGCAGTACAAACTAGAGCGGCAGTACAAACTAGAGCGGCAGTACAAACTAGAGTGGCAGTACAAACTAGAGCGGCAGTACAAACTAGAGTGGCAGTACAAACTAGAGCGGCAGTACAAACTAGAGCGGCAGTACAAACTAGAGCGGCAGTACAAACTAGAGCGGCAGTACAAACTAGAGCGGCAGTACAAACTAGAGGGGCAGTACAAACTAGAGCGGCAGTACAAACTAGAGTGGTAGTACAAACTAGAGCGGTAGTACAAACTAGAGCGGCAGTACAAACTAGAGCGGCAGTACAAACTAGAGCGGCAGTACAAACTAGAGCGGCAGTACAAACTAGAGCGGCAGTACAAACTAGAGCGGCAGTACAAACTAGAGCGGCAGTACAAACTAGAGCGGCAGTACAAACTAGAGTGGCAGTACAAACTAGAGCGGCAGTACAAACTAGAGTGGCAGTACAAACTAGAGTGGCAGTACAAACTAGAGTAGCAGTACAAATCCAATGAGTGAGTAGTGAGTATGGTTTTACGCCCCTATTCCAGCAATATCATGGCGGGGACGCCAGAAATGGGCTTCACACAATGTGTCCATGCAGGGAATCGAACCTGGATCTTCTGTGTGATAAGCGAACGCTTTAACCACTAGGCTACCCCACCGCCCCTACAAATTCAATGGCAGTATAAAGCAAATGCAGTGATTAAAGCAACAAAGACAGAGTTTGATAATTAGGCTGAGTAGGAATCATCCCACACAATGTTGGTCCTTTTGTAACCTGTGATATTATGTGAGAGGCAAGCGTTAAGTTCCGAACAAAATGACTTCAGAAGACTGTCCAACTCTCTGAGTCAGTATAGAATGGAAAGACCCATAGGCTTATAGTACAATGTAGTAGCTTCCAGAACTCGTCTAAATATTCCACAGACCCGAGAAGGTCCGGGTTAGAATGAATTTTCAGTAACCCATGCTTGTCGTAAGAGGCGACTAACGGGATCGGGTGGTCAGCCTCGCTGACTTGGTTGACACAGGTCATTGGTTCCCAATTGCGCAGATCGATGCTCATGCTGTTGATCACTGGATTGTCTGGTCCAGACTCGATTATTTACAGACCGCTGCCATATAGCTGGAA